TCTTCCGTGAATGAAAACCACATATACTGTTATATTGTTTGCTCGAGAAAAAATTTCCATCGTGCACCCTAATAGTTTTTGACTGCAGTGGCAAAAAAAAAAAGATCAATTTGACCCCATTAACTGTTAGAAAATCGAACGAATGTTCAGAAAAATAATATTTTCAAATGCAAAAATTCTACTGGTGTATGACCAGCTTTGGGGTTGGGTTTTGGGTAGGGATGCACCGATACCGGTATTTTGGTATTGAGTACGAGTACCGATATTTTTTTTCTGATACCGAATACCGATACCAGAAGTCCCATTAAGGAAACCAGGCGGCGTGTGATGACTCGCCAACCGGCTTACCGATTAGCAGGGAAGCCGTCCCCATGTTTCTCGTCACTAGGTGACGAGAAAGAATGGGGACGGCTTTCTGGCTTGCTGATTGGCTGGGAAGCCGGCTCCATGCTCCCTTGTCATGAGGTGACGGCCTCATTACACGCTTCCCGGCCAATCAGGAAGCCAGGCAGAGTGTAATGACTCGCTTCCCGGCTTCCTGATACTGGAAGTATCGGGCTAGGCACCAGAGCGTTTGGGTGAGGACTCGCCCAAATACTCAGCACCGATACCGATACTAGTAACGGTATCGGTGCATCCCTAGTTTTGGGATTAGAAAACCACTCCGACACCACCACCTTGTATTATCTTTTATTTCCACATTAAAGATTTAGTAAAAAAAAAAAAAGAATACAATTGACCCAAAATTGTTGTAGTTTCCCTTTAAACGCTGACTTAGACCCTTGTAAACTACAGTAGCTGGATAATTAGATTTTCACTAGAATGCGCTGATATCTGTTCCTGGTTGAAGGTTCTGCTGAGGTCAGCCAATTCTGGCACGTCATAATAAAAAATTTGTTTATCAAAGTCTGAAGGTGGAAGGGAGATTTGTCCTTAAGTTTGTCAGATCGATAATCACACTTCTCTGTGTCATTTAGAGGCACCGTGAGAAATGCAGGAATTTTAATGGACTGTGGCTTGTTTGCTAAGTAGAGAATTCTCAGCCTATTGCAAAGTGGTCTTTGTTTAGAATCTGCAGACGGTATGCTGCTCCTAGCAAGGGATGATGGGAGGTTTATCTGTTTGTCATTCTTGGGGTAGGTATATAAGGTGAGGGGATGCACGTTTTTCTTTGAGTGAGATACCTTTAAAGCCCAACTGCACCCAACTCCCAGCCCTCTCCCCTTCCCTGGCATTTATGTATATATCAGCCTTTCACAACCACTGTTCCATAGAGCCCCAGGGTTACTCCAGAGGTTGCTCGGGGTTCCTTAATCAATAAGCACTTTCCGCCTCTCAGAGAGGCACTGACACTAATCAAAAATGATTATTTTAGCTTTCTGTAGGGGTGCACTCTTCCCACTAACCCCCAGTGTAAGAACAATTTTTCCCACAGACAACTGTGTTAGGAGCAGTCTTTCGACCAACCACCAATGTAAGAAGCATTCTTCCCACTGACCACCAATGTAAGGAGCGTTCTTACCATCCCTTGCTTCCAGAAACGATTTAAAGGAGAACTATGGGGTTAAGGCTTTTCCCCATAGTTCTCCTTAGGGTAACGGCAGGACACAAACTAGCGTCCTCCCGTCACCCTAGGCTCAGTATACCGCGAGCTGTAGCTCGCGGTATACTGAGACGCCGCAGCGGATTCCGAAAATTGTGCCGGGATCCGCCCAGCTGCGTGACTGACAGATGGCTCTGCCTATCTAGAGGCAGAGCCAGCTGTACTTGCCCCCTCCCCCGTCCGTTCCGCCAATCAGCGCTAGCGGATCGGAGGGGGGAATCCAGCCCCTCCCCTGTCACGGCAGAGAGCCGTGACATGATCGAGAGGTGAGCGAACACCGGTATCTGTTCGCTCACCTCCCGATCTACTGAGCCGACCTGTGACAGTCTCATTGTCACAGGTCGGCTAGAACTATGAGGTGAGTGAAAAGCACTCACCTCATAGTTCTCCTTTAACACTCCACACTTGGATTTCCATTTTATTATATTGTGCCCATTCACATCCGAGTGATGTGCTGTTGCTCAACGCTTAGAAAAGGTACGGAAGCCTCTTTGGAGCAGGATTGTGTATTTTTGACCCCAAGAGAGCACCTGGAAAAATATGCGCATTGCACTTTTTTTCTTGTGATTTGGTGCCTGACAACCCTGTCTTTCTCCTCGTAACTAGCTTTCCATTGGCTAAAACAAATACGCTTATGCCTAAAAAGGCGTGAAACACACGCATACAAAGGCAGACAAAAAAACATACATACAAAACATACAAAGATGTCAAAGTTCAAGTGTGAGTGTAGGCTTCTTATTATTTATTTCATTATAGTTACTGGAAATAATTGTTGTATAGAGTGGGTGTCATATACCCAAAGTATGCCACGTTTTTTTTTTTTCTTTTATCAATTTTTTTTATGTGCAGGGTCTTCTTTCTTCTCCAGCACTGGGTGGTCTTCAGAGATGCAGAGAGCAGTGCTAATGTAATGACATCGGGGCTGTTCTCTGCATCATTGTATGTGTGTGCAGGTTGCTGTTTTTGGCATCCCCCTTAGGGGCAGGTCGACGTCCTGCACTCCAGGAAGTTGATTGACACTGAACATCATTCAGCCTAGACAGACTGAATTACAGAGTGGTGGGTCTACAAGGGGCAGCTCTGAAGAGGAGTTGAGCATTACCTCTAGACCTGTGGAGTTGGGCTTGAAGAATGGCATTGGGCTTTTGGATGGGGTGAAGATGTCATATCTGTGGTAACAGTTGACATCCTCAGTGGACCTTTCCTGGCATAAAAATTGCAGATTTGTATGTATGAGTGCTAATATCTCAGTGCAGGACACCCATGATCCTGCCAGTGGTGACAACTGGCCAGTGACAGGACCACTATAAAGGTCCTGCGGAGAAGTACTCCAATGTCTCCAAGGCATCACCTACTAGCTGGAGAGATGGGTGAGTGAGATCCTGCAGTGTTTCCATTAGCAAGGGAGTGACTCCTCGCTCATCCAACCAGTGAGGATGCTGCAACGCCATGCACATTATTTTTGGTTGGGGTATGCCAAATATGGTCTACTTCTCCATACCTCCCCCAATGCAGAATGCTCGTGTAGGTAATCTCCCAGGCCGGCATTTTCAAAGACAATAGGAAATAAAACTTAACTAAGATGAATGGTTTCTTTCTCAAGGCTGGAACCTGTTTTGGAGTTGAAGTCACAATCTTCAGTCATCATCCTCCTTTGTGTGTGGTCGTTCTGATCAGTGCATGCACCGTGTGTTCTGTGTGACCTGTTGACACTACCACGCTGGAGCTGATTGTCACATTCTGGAGGATCAAACCCAACGCTTCTTTGTATAGTGCTATGTAGTAACGCTTTCCTTTGCTCTTCAAGATCTGAGCCTACAAGGCCCAGGAGAGGCCCAACAGAAGCTGTGTCTAATTAGGTGTACGTGCCATGTTGGACCTAGATTATTCAAGGCAACATTTGCAAACTCAAGGCAAAATTTACAGATTCTCACTTTTGGTCACCCCAAACTGCATCCTTCTCCCGTGATACCTTCCACACGCTCCTCCACCACTCAGTTCTTCAAAGAATGTTGAACATCCAGGAAGCACACCAACGTGCCTAACTTGCATTATTGCGAGGTGCTCTAACACACCTGATACCAAAGCACAATCGTGTGACTCCAGCCTGGAAACAAGTGGCCCAGGAAGACAAATATTCCTGCTCACCCACTGTCCCTTCCTTCATATACAGGCATTTCTTGTTTACTGGAGTCTCATGCCAGTATTTTGTACCAATATTAAGCCGAACCTTGCATGGTAATGACTTAATAACATCCCCAGATTTTTAAAAAAGCAGTAAAGGGAAAAAAAATTAAAAAATGAATAATTGGACCCTTCTTCCTGGAGGAGTTGGTGCCTCGCAGCTATCTTCTGGATGCTTGCGATTCCTTGAAGAACAGCGTGGCCGGGGGGAGCGTGTGGAAGATATCACTAGGGGGTGACTGAGCAACAGAGAACCTGTCCTTTGGCCTTGATATATCTAGGCCCAAAATGGCATGTACACCTAATTTGACATGGCTTCTGTTGAGTCTCTACCAGGCCTTGTATGTTCCGATCCTAAGCACAGGACAGCGTTACTACATAGCGCTATACAAAGAAGCATTGGGTTCGCTCATCCAGGAAGTGACAATCAGCTTCAGCGTGTCATTGTAAACAGGTCACATAGAACACACAGTGCATGCGCTGATCAGACTGCCATACGTAAAACAGGTTGATGATGACTGAAAATTGGGACATCAACTCCAAAACCTTTCATCTTAGTTCAGCTTTATTTCCTATTTTCCCTGCAAACACCGGCCTGGGAGATTACCTACATTAACATTCAGCTGTAATTATAGATGCCAAAGTGGAAAAACCTGCTTTTGTATTCGAGTAAATCACAAATATTCCAGCTCCTGCAGTAGGGGAGGAGATGAGCAGTAGAAGTATCTTAAGGGAACAGTCTTTGGTTGACAATATTTGGCACACCACCACCAATAATGATGTGATGGAGTGTCGAATAGGGACAAGTTAGAATGTGCCGTGAGTGGGACTTGGAGGAAACCTTTACTGAGATACATACATATATAGGCTGCCGTTGCTGACCTGCTTCTGCCAATGCTAGTTACTTTGCTGTCTCTTACTACGTTGTGAATAACTGATCTGAAACAAGCATTGGACTAGTGGGGTCAAAATAAATGAAAATGAATGAGCTGCCTCAATGCAACCTTCATTAATGCAACATCACGCACATGCTTTAATGCACCAGGGTGGGCAGGGGTGATTTGTCCCTAAAGACACAATTATCACACAGTAGGTTGAAATTTGTGAAACCAGATGCTGGGGCTGCGTGGCCACATAACTGTGCTGCTCTCCTGACATGAAATAGATTTTTGTGACAGTAAATAAAGTTCACACATTCTCTCTTTTTTTGCAGGCTCTGCAAAGTAATTTGAGGTACTGCTTACTACCAAGGCGCCTGATTATTAGCAAGAGGTTGGCACAATGCCTGCACCCAGCTCTGCCCAGTGGAGTCCACTTGAAAGCCCTGGAGACCTATGAAATTATCTTTAAGATAATTGGTACAAAATGGCTGTCGAGGGACCTTTTCCTGTACAGGTAAAACACGTGAGATCATGTCCTGCTCTGCAATTCTGTAAAGTACTGTATATTTAAATTTTGAATGGAGTTAGGGATGGTTTAAACCTCTGTTATTTATGTATTTAGTTGATTATTTGCTTTTTTTGTCCCATTGGGGAATTTCCCTTCACGTCTGGTCCTGTAGGCACAACAAATAGAGTCCTCAATCTCTGTTTCTGCAGCCCCTGTTATAAATGAACAGGAATCCTCTATACCGAGTGTTCCTGTTCATTTATAACTTGTGGACATATTGTGTTTACTATATCCACAATCATGAATGAGCAGGAGGTCATGTAGATCACTTCCCATTCATTCATAATTGAGGACAGAGTAAACATACTCTGTCCTCAATTATGTACAAACACTCAGCGATCACTGAGTGCATGTACCCGCTCTCCATCCTGACACACTGTCACAGGAGGCTGGGCGGTGCAGGAGAGCAGCTCAGCCTCCTGTGACAGCAATGGCTGTCTCCGCCCACACTGCCGCTCTCCTGATCTGTGACAGGAGGCTGAGCGGTGCGGGGAGGAGAGACGCCGACCACTCACAGCACTCTCCTCCCTCAGCGCTCGGCCTCCTTTGACGGATGCACCGCTATTTTGGCCAAAAAATTGCACCTTTGGCATTTAACATTTCCAGATGTTCCCCATAACATAGCAAATTTTCACTTTTTGCCTTCAGGTCCACTTTAACCTCAGCCAAACCCCCTGCTATCATAAACTTTAGGATTTGCATGTCTTAATCTTGTTTGTTTGGTGTTCTTTCTGCAGTTCGGGCCTCTTTCCACTGCTGTTTCACGCAGCCATGTCTGTGAAGCCCATTCTCCTGGGTCTCTATGAGACTTATTTCCTGCCCATACAGAGGTCATTGCTGCCCAGTCTCCAGGCGTTCATCACTGGACTGCTCCCAGGCTTGGAAGAAGGATCGGAAATTTATGACAGGTGAGAAGAGAATGTCTGTTTACCGGAGTTCTTGTCCAGTGTACATACTGGGTGAAAAGAACAGGCAGCATTCCACAGTTAAAGTGTACACATACGTGTCAAATACAGAGGCCGCCATGGCTGATCGCTTCTAAAATACTAGTTGCCCGGCTGTTTCTGGCTTTCTGAGTCACTGACCTAGAACAAGCATACAGATACAAGTGGAGTTAGAACTCTTGATCTGCATACTTGTTTCATTTCAGTGCCTTATAAGTTATTGAAGCCATTGCATCAGCATGACAGCCAAGGAAGCTAAAACAGGTCCACATGTTGCTGTTCAGAGTGATCACAGGCAAGATAAGATTTAATATGCTTATATTTTGCCTAGCCCGGTTATTTCCCTAGGTTTTCCCTAGGGATGCATGGATACTAGTATCGGTATCGGTGCAGATGCCAAGTATGTGGGCGAGTACTCGCCCAAATGCTCCGATGCCTAGCCCGATACTTGTGACGAGAGAGCAGGGAGCCGGCTTCCCAGCCATAAGGAAGCCAGGCAGCGTGTAATGACGTGCTGCCCTGCTTCCTGATTGGTCAGAAAGCCGGCTCAATGCTTTCTCGTCACCTAGTGATGAGAAGCCCGGGGATGGCTTCCCTGCTAATCGGGAAGCCGGGTGGCGAGTCGTTACACGGCGCCTGGCTTCCTGAATGGGACTTCCGGTACTCGGTATTGGCGAGTAGTGAAAAAAAATATTGGTATTCGATACCGAAATACCAATATCGGTGCATCCCTAATTTTCCCCCTTCATCAACATGCTAATAAAATCTATAAATATAATATTTCCATTTTCTATTCATAGCTTATTTTAGACCCAGTGATGTCATTGCAATGCAGGCCAATCATGGCTGGTGGGAGTGGCCGGCAGGGTACATAGCTTCCTGAAAACATTGCAGCACCCTACCTCAGTTCTTCTCTGAAGAGTCCTCAGCCCTGATGCAAGCAGTGGGCTGGCTCTTGTGAGAAGTGATGCAAATATCAAAATGCCTTGATGGGTAGATGTCAGCCTTGAGGAGTGGGCATTCCCAGACAGACTGTATTTAAATGCAGACTGCCCTAAGTAACTGCCACATGTGGTATTGAGCCTCCATGTTTAAAGGAACTAAAATCCAATGAATGAAAGGGGTGTGCCAGGGACAATCAGGCTGAGGAGGAAAGGGGTTAGATGATCCTGGATGTCTTCCAGTCAGGAAATGAGGCGGGCACGATCTGACTTGCTGCAGCTTCTAATGCACATTGTGAGAAGCTTGCCGTGTGCAGTGAAATCAGAGTAAGCAATTTCAGTCCCGGAGATGAGTCGGTACAAATGTGTAAGACTGAATGGAAGGCCGGGGTTCAGCTTTAATTATAGCTTGTAAACACTAGTCTGAGTGTCTGTCTCATTCAGGAGGCATTAGAAGCAGACATGAAGCCATAGGTCCCCCAGGGCTCCCTCTATTGTCCCAGCACCCAGGGCACATTGAGATTGTACACTGACCTGTGCAGCAGCAGAAAACAAAATGCTGGCAGGCAGAAAAAAGTTTCATTGCAGAAGAGAAGCCTATTCTGTTATGAAAGCCTACCGGCTCGCAGTTTATTCTAAAAGCCTTTAGTCCACTTTAACAATCATTTAGTCCTCATTTGCAAGGCTCAGCCCCGTAGTCTCTCAGAGCTTACTAAATGCTTTCCAAGGGAACCTGCGAAGATACAAATCTAGGAACTGACACTTCTGACTTGTATTTAAATCTGCCTGACATAAGATCCTGATGATTCAAGCTTCTGCAGAATTCTGATGGGGGTGGAAATCTGCCATAGAGTAGCTTATCCTCCCTCTACGTTTCTACCAACAGAGGAACCCTCGAAATAGTTTTCAGGTCTCAGGGAGCCCCCTTCATAAATTATTATCTACAGTCCATGGTATACTGGCATGATCAGGTTGTAAAGAGGTTTAAATAAAAAATCGAGTAGTAGGGTGTATCCTAACACTCTAAATGTCATCATTATTTGTGAGTAATAATCATGAAATTAAATAAAATTAAACAGATAATGGCCAGGAAATAAACCTAGACAGTGAAGTTCTAGTGACCCTCTTAATTAGTGGTCAGTGTAGAACTGAGACCTTAGATTATTGGTGAGTGGAGAAGTTACCCTTTGCATTGGTGGTCAGTGGAGAAGTGACCTCTTTGATCAGAGGTCAGTAGAGAAGTGATCTCTTAGGTTTGTGGTCAGTGGAGAAGTGACTCCTTACATTGGTGGTCAGTAGGGAAGTGATCTCTTAAGTTTGTAGTCAGTGGAGAAGTGATCTCTTAGATTGGGGGTCAGTGGAGAAGTTACCCTTTGCATTGGTGGTCAGTGGAGAAGTGACCTCTTTGATCAGAGGTCAGTAGAGAAGTGATCTCTTAGGTTTGTGGTCAGTGGAGAAGTGACTCCTTACATTGGTGGTCAGTAGGGAAGTGATCTCTTAAGTTTGTAGTCAGTGGAGAAGTGATCTCTTAGATTGGGGGTCAGTGGAGAAGTTACCCTTTGCATTGGTGGTCAGTGGAGAAGTGACCTCTTTGATCAGAGGTCAGTAGAGAAGTGATCTCTTAGGTTTGTGGTCAGTGGAGAAGTGACTCCTTACATTGGTGGTCAGTAGGGAAGTGATCTCTTAAGTTTGTAGTCAGTGGAGAAGTGATCTCTTAGATTGGGGGTCAGTGGAGAAGTTACCCTTTGCATTGGTGGTCAGTGGAGAAGTGATCTCTTAGGTTGGTGGTCAGTGGAGAAATTATCTCTTACCCCCTAGTTTGGTCGTCAGTAGTGAAGGGGACCCCTTACATTGGTGTTCAGTTGAGGACTGACTCCTTAGATTGGCGGTCAGTCGAGAAGGTGACCTCTTACATTGGTGGTCAGTTGAGGGCTGACCATTTAGATTGGGGATCAGTGGAGAAGGTGAACCGCTTACATTGGCGGTCATTGGTGAAGTGACCCCTTACATTGGTGGTTACTATAAGCAGGAGATCAATCTGCCACATTCTTCTTCTCAAGGAACCCCTAGAAACCTCTGAATGAATGCCGGGGTCCCCCAGAACCCAGTTGAAAAAGGCTGGTGTAGATGGTTTAGTTTATTAATAGTCTGATACAGAAAATCCAAGCACTGAAGTAATATAGACCAGTGACCCATGACATGGGGAAGCATCATATGAGATTGTAACTATGTGAGTTTATTTCTCTGTATAACTTATTTATATAAATTTTTGATATACCCGAAGAGGGGATTACACTTTATTCACTTTAATAGCGCTGCACACTCAAAATCTTTTTTATTTCTCTGGTGGTCTGGAAGTGGGTCAAAGCTGCTAAGAATACAAGGTGAGTATGGGCTCTATGTACCCATCTGTAAAACAAGCCTGTTACTTTGCCTAGATTGGGTATAGGTTTGCAATAAAGGCTTCTGAATCATTGTTTATTGTGACAAAGGCATGCAGCACCTCTTGTCATATAGTTCATGCTGTAACGTGTGTGTTCCTTGTGTTTCTCAGGACAGATGTGTTACTACAGAAACTGTCCATGGTGGTTGGTCCGGAAGTATTCTACAGCTCTCTTTGGGGCAGCGTCTTGGTCAGCAGCTCCATTCGCCTTCCTGCTTCCCTCTTTGTGGTCAGTCACATCAACAGAGACTTACCAGCCAACTCTCAGAGCTACATGCTGGGGAATGACAAGCAGCTGGCCGTGAGTATGCCTGGTCATGTGACATCATGTGCAACACCCTTTGGATAGGTTAGTTCATTGCAATAGGAAGTATCCAGTACTTCCAGGTTTGGGGAAGCGTATATCCTTCTCTCAGGATGCAGTGCTTGGGGCTCATTGGCCAATTGTCAGGCATGTACACTGTCATTTGGTAAGGGAGAGGGACATTAACTGTGTAACCTCCTACATGGACAACCCTGTAACTGGACAGTAAAAAGAGAAGCAGACTAGTGAGCTCTCTATCACTCTGCTCTCTCCTTCTATTCGCATGTTCCTTGCTCCGCAGCACAACCTATTATCTGCCTGGAGTCGAGCACTAAAGTACAATTAAAGGCTCTTGTATTACAGTCTAAACAAATGCCAAATCCAGTTATAATGTGATGCATGAGCTTCATAAATTACTGAAGTACTATGGAGGAACCTTTTTTGCCCATAGTTCTTCTCAGGGTCGCAGAAGGACAAATACTGTGTCCTCTGCTGACCCAAAACTCAGTATATAGCAGGCTCTTGCCCGCTGTATGCTGAGAGTGCCACAGCCGAGTCGGATCCCGACACTACTGTTAAGATCCACCCCTCTGGCTGATTGACAGCTAGCTCTGCCTCTCTAGAGGCAGAGCCAGCTGTGCCCGCCCCCTCCACCAGCCTTTCCTCCACTAATCGCTGGAGGATCGAAGAGGGGAGGGGGGAATCTCTGCATGGGGTGATGACTGACAGTCACCGCTCTCTGCAGAGAGATGATCGGGAAGTGAGCAGGTCGGCGGTATGTTTTCGCTCACTTCCCGATCAATAGAGCCGACCCGTGACAGCTTCTTCGTCACACGTCAGCATGAATTATGGGGATGAGTGTGTATCACTCACCCCATAATTCTCCTTTTAAACAAAAATGTCCTATGCCTTCCCTGACTGAGCCAAATCCTCCTTAATTTGTGTCTCACACGCTCCCCTTCCCAGTCAAAGCAGATCATGGTGGGAGGATTTCAACAGCAATGCAGTGCTGCCAATCCAGAAAGCAGTGGGCGGGACTAGGTCCGGCCAGGTGCTGATTGACAGGCCACAGACTTGTAAATGAGCAGTAACAATGCCGATAGCCACAGCCCCTGCAACATGTTTTCATCCCACTGTAGTGCAAAGAGGCACAGCCTACATGAGAGAGACAACTCTACTCTGAATTCAGGAGCAGTGCAGCATTGTTGACACCCCATCACTGGAAGGTGCATTAAGTGGGCCTCACTGGCAGGATCAGAAGGTATTTATGTTACTTTGCAGGGGGACTAAGAGAAAACTCTACATGCAGATACACTTATTAAAGGAGAACTATGGGGTCATGGCTTTTCCCCATAGTTCTCCTAAGGGTAACGGGAGGACACAAACTAGCGTCCTCCCGTCACCCAAAGCTCAGTATACCGCGAGCCACAGCTCGCGGTATACTGAGATGCCGCAGCCGGGACGGATCCCGACATTACTGTCTGGATCCACCCAGCTGCGTGAGTGACAGCTGGCTCTGACTATCTAGAGGCAGAGCCAGCTCTACTCGCCCCCTCCCCCGTCCGTTCCGCCAGTCAGCGCTTTAGAATCGGACAGGGGAGGGGGGGAATCCCTGCAGGGAGCCGTGAGTGACAGTCTGTCACTCAAGGCTCTCTGCAGGGACATGATCAAGAAGTGAGCGAGCGACGGTATGTGTTCGCTCAATTCCTTGATCAATTGAGCCGACCTGTGACAGTTTCATTGTCACAGGTCGGCTAGAACTATGAGGCTGAGTGATTTTCACTCGCCTCATAGTTCTCCTTTAAGTGCTGCATCTTTAATAGGAGGCCGTAGCTCTGCTAAAATGTTTGCTCGACATACTGTAAGGTAATTCACAATCCACTACTTCAAATACTTTGAGGCACCACTGAGCTTGTGTTCCGTAAAAGTTAAAATGTTCTGACACCAGCATACACAGACATTAATATGTGTTCTCCTGTTCCGTCTAGATGAAATCTCTTTGTATCTCTGTAATGGATTCAAATGTTCTCGTACAGAGGAACACCTTGGAAATCCTGGTCCACTTCTTCCCCTTCCACACATGCCTGGTAAGAAAAAAGGATCTGGGCCCCAGAGAGGCACACAGTATATGATGGATTGTCTGCCAGCCTTCACCCTCATAAAACCACCAACTCATTCCTGCTGTGCTGTACAAGATCAGCATTTTCTTAGATGCTGATAGAATAGATGTTGGTTAGTTGCTAGAAGCTGCCAAACAAGCAGATTTTCCAGCAGATATAAAGGAGCTTGCCAAAGACCTACTTAAAATGTGTAACTCTGTTTGGGATAAACAAAAAAATGGTATCACAAATAATTTTGTCATACAGCGTATTTTGTAATTAAGGGGCTAGTACACCCAAAATTGACAGTTTAGATATAATTGGATAGGTAAGGAAACGTTTCCCAAAACAAGAGTCTTCTCAGTGGAGATATGAGCAGAGGCGTCTGAGGCTTAGGAAGGAGTATGAGACTTGCTTGTCTATATGCATCAATTTATGTTCTCGAGAAAAGGAAATAAAATACACCATTAATGCGTTTCATGGGACTGGGTGACCACTTCTTCGGGTGGGTGTGTGACGGCACTGGTTAAAGCAATATTGTAAAAATTGTAGTGTAGATAATAATACTAATTATAATAGTAGAGTTGATAAAGTGATAAAACAATTTAATAGCTCTAATAAAGATTATAGAAATGTAATATACATAGAACAAAATCATATTTTATATATATATATACATACATACATACATACATACATACATACATATACATGTATGTGTCTGTGTGAATCATCATCTATTATTTTGTCCTGTGTTTATAAAATGTATATAACCAGAAGCAGCCCACCCCAGGATTACCTGAAGGAAAACCTCTAGTTGCCAAAGATCCCATGTGGGACATCTCACAACCCAATCAATACGAGTATGCCTCTTCAATCTAATATTCTCACCATATGAAAAAGACCATGAAAAATGTATAACTACACTCAGACGGATCTCTCCTATGTCTCTGTTACCTCCCTTTTCTCCCTTTCTCTTTTTTGGAGGCACTCTCTTCCTAGTTATACAGTTGGTGGACCTTGGTCACCTGAGTCAGCTTCTCATTTGCCTTGCATGCTCCAACAGTGACATCTTCGGCCACAATTAATTACACTGCTACTGTCTACCTGGGAGTTTTGGGTGTTTTTATTCACCTTTGTATGTTCAAGCAACTCTTGTTACATTGTCCATATTATTATTAGAGTTGCTGCACCTTAACGACCTGGGTCAGCTTCTTATTTGCCTTGAATGCTCCAGCAGTGATATCTTTGGCCACATTTATATACACTGTTCCTGTCTACCTGGGAGTTCTGGGTGTTTCTGCCCACCTTTGTACTTTATGTTCCAGGAACTCTTGTTACATTGTCCATATTATTATTAGAGTTGCTGCACCTTGATGACCTGAGTCAGCTTCTTATTTGCCTTGCATGCTCAAGCAGTGACATATTTGGTCATATTTATATACACTGTTCCTGTCTACCTGGGAGTTTTGGGTGTTTTTGCCCACATTTGTATATTCCTGCTCCTCCTGTAACTTTGTCCACATTATTATTACAGTTGCTGCACCTGTGACCTGGATGACCTGAGTCAGCTTCTTATTTGCCCTTGCATGCTCAAGCAGTGACATCTTTGGACACATTCTGTTCCTGTGTACTTGGGAGTTGTGGGTGTTTCTGCCCACCTTTTCTATATTCCTGATCCTCCTGTAACATTGTCCACATTATAAATGAAATACATATAGGCGCCTGAGTTTGATCACGCTGTCCAGTCTACCGTGTAATTTAAAGAACAACAAAAAATTAATAAAGACTCCTGGTCAAATAAGTGGTTTGGAATCTCCTCTTTGAGGATGACATAGTCACATTTGTCAACAAACGCCAATCTAAATAGACTCAACGAACCTGAAAAGTACATATAGCTGTAAACCACAACAAAAATGATACCGTGTACTTCACTACTAAACATATTATGTATTAATGTAAATACTCGTATAGCTATACACAATTGTTAAATGCCATGGTCACAAATCCCATAACGCATCTTGTCCCCCAATCTGATGCATAAATATAGTATAACGCTCAATTGACATGAGTATAACAGTGTATCAGTCACATATAGAGATCATCTGCATAGTCATATCCCTGCATATCCAACACTCAGGGCGTTATTCACTATGGAGCCGAAGGATACAGCCGTAGCTTCTGCTGATAAGCAGTAGATATAGGCAAAAAAAACCGCTTAAACAGCGGTTTAGACTGACCTCATTATCGCTGCGCGCTCCCGCGAGTCCGGAAATGTTCGTGCGGCCGCAAAGAATCAAAGGGCGGGCGCATGCACAGTTCGGATTCTCGGCCGGGAGACGAGTAGAGACGCAAGGTAAGTCTATGGACGCGTGCACCCGCCTGCAGACAGCGCTGGATCGGAAGTGCCTGTAAGCAGAGAGGAGTCAGCGCTGGATCGGAGAGCCGCCGCACCGCTGGAGGGACAGATGAAAACATCAGGAAAGAAGAGGAAGATCGGATTAAGAGACATCATTTAAGGTAAGTGCTAACATTTACATGGGGGGGAGGGAATTTTTTTTATCCTTTAATGTCACTTTAATCAGTCCATCAGTTAACACAAATAGGGAGAAGAATGCCTCACAGACACAAATGTTTGCTGTGGTGTATGATATATGTATTTTTGAGGTTCTAGGAGTCTATATGGTCAGGGGTTTGTTGACAATTTTGACTATGGCGCTCTGTAATTTTACAGACCTGGTCAGACCTGCCCCCTATCTTCCTCAGCACTATATGTGTGCATAAGGATACTTAATATAAGAGTTGTAGCCATGGCCATAGTCTTGTAGCTAGCATAGATCATAGATGAGCAGGGTGTGCTTTGCCCATGCAGGAATTCCATAGACATCTCTATAGCTGTGTCCACCATTCTCCTGTGACAAGTAAAATTACAGGTTTCTGAGCAATACACCAACTGACTTGTTTCACATTTCTTAATTTTCTTGTTTCTATAGGAGTCTGATATCTGCCCCATGTCACTCCAGCGGTCAGATCTCATTCACATCCTTTCTGCCGCTATCCAGACTGTCCTGAGAAGAGACATGTCCCTGAATAGGAGACTGTATGCCTGGCTGCTGGGTAAGAGGACCTGTCACTAGAGATTGAAGTAAACAAGGGTCTTATGTGTTAGAACTGTATGAAAGGAACACTATTGTATTGTTTATGAACAGGCCAGCTTTCAGCTGTCAGTCTTCCAGGACAGTATGAAAAGAAATAAAGAAAGGACTCAACACAGACACCCATATTTTTAATGCATAAGAGCTCATTTACTTCCTATACATTGAAAATGGTGCATTATTGTGATGGATAAATTCAGCTGCATTTCAAATTTGTGCTCCCCTAAGCATTATGGTAGCGCTGCTGGGCACAGGGAGTGCTGCTCCTGTCCAGTTTCCTGTTATGGTGACCAGTTGTTGCTGCTGCTTTTCTTTACAGGTAATGGCTGCTCACCAAAGTGTCCTATGTTGACTCTGGGCAGACCTTGTGTGGTTATGTCACCACTGCCTGCTTCAGGTATTTCCTGCTACTACTGTAATCTCTGCTGGAGGGAACATCTACCAACAGCCACCTCAAATACTCTTAATGAACTGCCTACATCAGGCATGTCCAAACTACAGCCCTCCAGCTGTGGTGGAACTACGAAGCCCATGAGGCTTTGCAGGGTTCTCACAGCCACAGATATGACTCCCGGAGAGAGATGCTTCATGGGATTTGTAGTTTCAGCACAGTTTGGACATCCCTGGCCTACATAATAGCCACTTATAGAATGTTCATGCAGGGCTGTAGCTACCATGGGGCGAGTCAGGCACTTGCCTCAGGCGCAGCTGAGAGGGGGCGCAGCCAGAGGCAGTCTGGCTGCACCCCTTTGCCCATGTTGCCATTGGCAACAGGGGTGCCAGGCGGCCACAACACATCCGCGGCTCAGCAGCAGGGAGAAGAGGAGCGGCACAGGCTCCAGCTTCTCCTCGGATCCCAGCTGCTCTCCCCCACCTGTATGGGCAGAGGACTCTGTGTTCTCAATCTCTTTTTCTATTTCAAAAGGGAAATGTCAGGTGTCTGTTTAGACCTCTCATATTTCACCAAAGCCCCCTAACAGTAATAATGATAATAATTAACCCCCACACACACACTCATGCACACATATTACTAGACATGTGCAAAGACTGAAAATTTGTTTTGGACGAAATGAACGAAAACTAAAAATGTTTTCATTACCAGTAGTTTTGTCAAACAAAATACATTTTTATGCTATTTTGGATTTGGCCACCAGCGCAATTCGCCGACATCCTGGAGTCGGGCCGCATGACGTCGCATACTGCACACGTTTCTGTTCTTGCCTCGGGCGCAAAAGGAGCTAGCTACGGCTATGTGTTCATGGGTCTTGTAATTTGACAGTGACAACATCCATGCGGAGTCCCTGCTGTTGGAGGCACCAAGGAGAGGGCAAAAGGGGGTAAATAAACAAATAAAATGAACATTTCCTAATCGATTATCAAGGAACACAGAATCAGTAGAATCAGGAACATTATGTTATACTACTGCTTTTCCGACGAATTGTACACAATGGTAAATCAAAAAAGTCGTAGGCCAGCCAAGCTTCCATCCTGCTCCCATGATGCTTTAGTTTTTTGCTAGTGTCCAAGGAGGATGAATGTCTTTCATATGAGAAAAGTATACCCATTTTTTCTAGACATTTTTATTTTTAGCTAGACTATTTTTTCTAAAATCAAGATTATTTTACGCCCTGTCCTCCGGAAGTCAAAAAGAGTCCCTTCCTTTTATAGCAGGCCTCTAAGTGCAGGCCAAAGTCTCGGACCTAGTTCAGTCGTAAATCCTGGACTCCCAGGTTCTCCAAGTTGATAGACAAGTCCTCCTCACAATGAGGAGATGCCTCCACTTTCCAAAGTGTGGGGACATCTATTTGCCTTCGCAGACACCTGTATCAACAGCATCTTCGATGCATGGGTAAAAGATGTGGTGGTCAGGGGTTTCAAGCTAGAGTTTCAATCTATGCACCTGCCCCGCTTCATGTTGCCAAATCTGCCAAACTCTACACACAGAGTAACAGATCTCCATGCTGCCTTGGCAGAACTCTTGGGTCAAAGATTAATTGCCATTGCTCCTCACACAGAGAGGTTTTAAGGTTTTTATTTAACCCGTTCACCGTTCCCAAAGCAAAGGGGGGGCATTGCATGCATACATGCATGTCCTTATCTTTTCAGCACATCAGTGCTTCCTGCATTTTGCTGTGGATGCCCAACACTATCAGTTAATTGCCCTTCCTTTTGGCCTCTCTTCTGCATGCTGAGTTTTCACCAAGGTCCTAGCTCGGGTGCTAGCCTTGTGCTCTTCGACACCAGTGTTATGGGTGCACACTGTAAGGCAGGGCTCAAAATTTCAGGTCCTGAGCTACTAGCCAGGCCTTCAAAGTTACTGGCCACCAGTTGCCCTTCATAACACAAACAAACACACACAGGGCACAACGTGCACACAGCACAACACACATACAGCCACAGCACAACGCACAGGACGTTACACATACAGCCACAGCACAACGCACAGAGCATTACACATACACATTTCATCTGAAATACATTTTTAGTATTCGCACATGTCTAATAATATGCGTCTGAGGGGGGGCGGGGGCAGTTTTTACTTTTTTTAAATAATTGTTTATTATTTTTTTATTAGTGCCTGACTCAATGGCTTCACTTCCACTCGCCCCCACGCAATTTTCACTTGCAATTTGCGAGGGGCGAGTGGAAATTTTGAGCCCTGTTGTAAGGAATAGTTAAAATATTATATAAACAGTAAAATAAGTGGAGAATATCTGTCAAGACAAGATCCTTTAGCACCCAAGGCAAAAAAGCCAAAGTATGCATCCCTCTCCATGAGCTCTGAACTACTTCACCAGCATAGGTTGCAAGTAACAC